AGTTGTTATGCTTTTGCTGTTCTTAGGACTTATACACTAGTCAGTTGTTACCAGACTGAGGCTAGTGCCTCCAACATTCTAGGATCTAGTTGTCACTACTTTTTGCTTTCCTATGACATGTATGTTAGTTAGTTGCTCCTACTTTCACTTAGGCTGTTAGCTGTGACATTGCTGTTTTGTGACATTTTATATCCTAGGTTGCATCGCATGGACTCAGCATGGACCTTGCTCCGCATCCTACACTACTTAGGTTTTCTTTTCTTTGGTAGAGTTCTGCTTCTTGGCGGAAGCATGTTTGTATCTAGGTGATCCATCACAGACCGAGGATCGTGTAGCGGACCTCGGGTTGGCCTGTGAGACCAGCCCCTTGGCCTGTTCTCACAGGCCTGTGTTATATTCGGGGTAGGCCAGTCCAGGCCGGTACCTCTGTCGGTACCAACCAGTCCAGTCCAGTCCCGTCAGTCCGCTGGGGTATACCCCAGCCATTGTCTGTTTTCAGTCTCATTCGTCACTTGCACATTTTGGAGTACGTGCGTTGGAGTCTTGCGTGGGGAGCTGCGTTGTGCTATCTTGCTCCCCGTTCTTCCTCCATCTCCATCTCCGTCACTAGCGGAGCACCACACCTGGTGGGTCCGCTACACGAACTGTGCCATGAGGTCGACGTTACTGAAAACCCTCAACATAGGATCCAGCAGACGTGCAGCGGCGTGGATGGGGCTGAGCAGCATGTCCGTCCTCTTGCCGACATCCCTGAGAAGGTCATTTCGCTGGTCCGCAGAGAGGGGGGCCGAGCGAACGAATCCAGGCAGCCGACACGCCATATCATAGATGCGTGACAAGCAGTGGACATCTTTGTCCACCTCTCGCAACACATCATAAAACCTCTTCATGACGGCAGTCAGCTTCTTGACATCAGCCCAGAATGCTTTGTCAAGAACTGTCTCCTCCACGAAGTAGGCCTTCGCCCTAATATTCCCTCGCCACAACATGGTCTCCCAACCGTATCCGGTGACGATACGCACGACGGCCCTTTCGCACACCTCAAGTCGCTGCAACATCACATAGTTTATCCCAAACCTTGTCTGAGCAGGCCGAAGGAGGCAGGTGCATTTCAAGTCAGGGTACTTCAACAGTTGCGTCCTCAACTGCGACCGAGGCCACCTGTGAACCCGGAAGAAGTTCACTATTTTGTTGGCGTTGGTGATGATCTCATCCGCCCACTACTTCTTGCCTATATCGTGCATCAGGAGGTCCATGCAATGCGTCGTGCAAGGGATCCAATAGATCTGCGCGAACTCGGCTTCCTCCCTCAACATCCTCGCAGCACTCGTGTTCCCGGCGAAAGAGTCAGTGCATATCGCCGTGATCTTCTCCACCCCCCACTCTCTGAAGAACCGCTTCCACCCGACAACGACAGCTGCAAAGTCTTTGTCTCCCTCGCACTTCACGAAAACAGGCTTCGATCGGCCTGCGAGGATGTAGTTCATACGTGATCGCCCACAGATGTTTGTGGTGCCATCAGTTATGAACGTACAGCCAGTCACCTGCCAGTCGTCACGGATCGCCTGCTTTTCATCCACCAACCTCTTGTTCAAACGATCGAGCAGGCGACACCTGAGGGGGTTATATCCAGTAGGCACGAGTGGATGACTCCCCACAAGCTGTGGTCCGATACACGTCAGCATGAACTTCTTGAAGCTCATGCTTCTGGCAGCGTTGAACGGTATGGCGTTCTCCACGAAGAACTCAAAGCAGGAGTCATCCATGTCCTCCTGCCTCGGGTTCTTCGCAAACCTCCTAATGTTGGTCTGCCTTGTCGGGCCACGTGTCCGCGCCCCCTACACCACAACCTGCGAGGAACCGGCCCTCCCTGCAGTAGCAAGGCCGACTGTCACAACACCCCTCGTCCCCTCATCCTCGCCGATGTCAACCTCCATGGTGTCCCCATCCGGTGCCTCCCTGGGATCCTCAACAATCCCGCCTTTGCCCCCTTCTCCTCCACCCTGAACAGGAGTGTCCCCCTCGTCGCTCTTCTCCATCTCCAACATGCGCTGCACCCTCTGATGCAGGTCCGGTGGCAGTTGTACACCGATGCCATGCAGCCTCCTCCAAATCGACAAGTTCAAATGTGGACACCTGGCAGACGCCCTCGCCAAAATGAAGTGCTCCCACGCACGCTTCCGATTACCAGAATACTCCTTGTTGCAGAGTTTGCACCGCAGTCTGCTCGACCCACGAGCATTGCCCGGCAGCATCTGCCCAGGAGTGACCCAAGTGCACACGACGTGGTCCCTATTGCAGGTCATGTCCTCCCGGAACGGCTCCCGTTGCTCCCTTGCCATGACACCGGTGATGCTGTAGAGTCAATGCAGGGTTGTTGCTGAAGCGGTTGCTGCTGACGTGGCTGCTGCTTTTGATGCTGTTGCGAGAGCTGGCACTGGAAGGTGCAGTGGCTGCTGCTACTAAAGCGGTTGCTGCGGCTGCTGCTGAAACGGTTGTTGCTGCCGCTGCTGAAGCGGTTGCTGCTCACGTGGCTGCTGCTGTCGTGGTCGCTGCTGACATGGCACAAGAAAGTGCAGTGGATTTTGATGTGGGTGCGGCAGCTGCAGCTGAAGCGGTTGCTGCTCACTTGGCTGCTGCTGTCGTGGCGGCTGCTGACGTGGCAGGTGCGGACGAAACACCTGCTGACGTGGCAGACGCTAACGATGCACCTGAAAGAACAAGGAACAAAAGAAATGTCAATTTCAATGGAGAATTAAAAAGAAGAAAAAAAAAAACCGGAGGAGGGAGAGGACGAGGGAAAGAGAGAGAGGGAGGACGAGGAGAGAGAGAGGGAGGACGAGGAGAGAGAGAGGGGGAGAACGAGGGTGGGGGAGGGGACGAGAGGGGATGGAGGAGATGCGTGTGCTGACGTGGCTGCCGCGCGACGAAGAAGAAGATGACGGGGAGGAGGAGGTGGAGAGAAGAAGAAGAAGATGAGGAAAGGAGGAGGAGAAGGAGGAGAAGACGAAGAAGATGAAAGGAGGAGGAGGAGGATGAGGAGAAAAGAAGAAGAAAAAGAAGAAGAAAAAGAAGAAGAAATTAAGAAGAAGAAGATGATAAAAAAAAAAACGAAATAAAAACGGTCACGCGTGTTGACGTGGCAGCCGCGCGACGACGATCGGACTTCAGGAGGAGGAGGACAGGGAGGTGTAGGAGATAGAGGACGAGGAGAAGGAGGAGGAGGAGGAGGACGAGGAGAGGAAGAAGAAGAAGAAGAAAGATGCGTCTGTGTGTGTGTGTGATGATGTGTGTGTGTATGTGTGTGTGTGTGTGTGTGTGTGTGTGTGTGTGTGTGAGAGAGAGAGAGAGAGGGAGGGAGGACGAGGAGAAAGAGAGGGAGGGAGGACGAGGAGAGAGAGGTGGAGAACGAGGGAGGGGGAGGAGGAGGAGATGGAGGAGGAGGAGAGGAAGAAGATGACGACGAAAGGTGGAGCGAAGAAGAAGATGGCTGCGGCGCGACGAAGAAGAAGATGGCGGGGAGGAGAAGGTGGAGAGAAGAAGAAGAAGACGACGAAAGGAGGAGGATGAGGAGGAGAAGGAGAAGACGACGAGAAGGGAGGTGTAGGAGGTAGAGGACAGCGAGGAGGAGGAGGAGGAGGAGGAGAACGACGAGGGGGAGGAGGAGATGGAGGAGTAGGAGAGGAAGAAGAAGAAGAAGATGCGCGTGCTGACGTGGGAGCCGCTCGACGAAGACGAAGATGACGGGGAGGAGGAGGTGGAGAGAAGAAGAGGAAGACGACGAAAGGAGGAGGAGGAGGACAAGACGAAGAAAACGAAAGGAGGAGGGGAACGACGAGGAGAGAAGAAGAAGAAGAAGAAGAAGAAGAAGAAGAAGAAGAAGAAGAAGAAGAAGAAGAAGAAGAAAAAGAAAAAGAAGAAATCAAGAAGAAGAAGATGATAAAAAAAAAACGAAAAAAAAAAGGTCCCGCGTGCTGATGTGGCAGCCGCGCGACGACGATCGGACTTCAGGAGGAGGAGGACAGGGAGGTGTAGGAGGTAGAGGACGAGGAGAAGGAGGAGGAGGAGGAGGAGGACGAGGAGAGGAAGAAGAAGAAGAAAGGTGTGTGTGTGTGTATGTGTGATGATGTGTGTATGTGTGTGTGTATGTGTGTGTGTTTGTGTGTGTGAGAGAGAGAGAGAGAGGGAGGGAGGACGAGGAGAGAGAGGTGGAGAACGAGGGAGGGGGAGGAGGAGGAGATGGAGGAGGAGGAGAGGAAGAAGATGATGACGAAAGGTGGAGAGAAGAAGAAGATGGTTGCCGCGCAACGAAGAAGAAGATGACAGGGAGGAGGAGGTGGTGAGAAGAAGAAGAAGAAGATGAAAGGAGGAGGATGAGGAGGAGAAGGAGAAGACGACGAGAAGGGAGGTGTAGGAGGTAGAGGACGACGAGAAGGAGGAGGAGGAGGAGGAGGAGGAGGAGCAAGAGGAAAAGAAGAAGAAAAAGAAGAAGAAGAAGAAGAAATCAAGACGAAGAAGAAGAAATCAAGATGAAGAAGAAGATGAAAAAAAAAAACGAAAGAAAAAGGTCGCGCGTGCTGACGTGGCAGKCGCACGACGATCAGACTTGAGGAGGAGGAGGACATGGAGGTGTAGGAGGCAGAGGAGGAGGAGGAGGAGGAGGAGTAGGAGGAGGACGACGACGACGAGGAGGAGTAGGAGGAAAAAAAGAAGAAGAAGAAGAAGAAGAAGAAGAAGAAGAAGAAGAAGAAGAAGAAGAAGAAGAAGAAGGAGAAATCAAGAAGAAGAAGAAGAAAAAAAAAAAACGAAAAAAAATAGGTCGCGCGTGCTGACATGGCAGTCGCGCGACGATCGGACTTCAGGAGGAGGAGGACATGGAGGTGTAGGAGGTAGAGGGGGAGGAGGAGGAGGAGGAGTAGGAGTAGGAGTAGTAGGAGGAGGACGATGACGAGGAGGAGGAGTAGGAGGAAAAGAAGAAGAAGAAGAAGAAGAAGAAAAAAAAAAATAAGAAGAAATCAAGAAGAAGAAAAAAAAAAAAAATCAAGAAGAAGAAGATCAACAAAAAAAAAATAAAAATAATAAACGTCGCGCGTGCTGACGTGGCAGCCGCGCGACAACGATCGGACTTCAGGAGGAGGAGGACATGGAGGTGTAGGTGGTACAGGAGGTGGAGGAGGAGGAGGAGGAGGAGGAGGGGGAGGCGGAGGAGGACGACCACGACGACGAGGAGTAGGAGGAAAAGATGAAGAAGAAGAAGAAGAAGAAGAAGAAGATATCACGAAGAAGAAGAAGAAGAAGAAGAAGAAGAAGAAGAAGAAGAAGAAAAAGAAGAAGAAAAAGAAGATGATGAATAAAAAAAAATAAAAAAAAATGGTCGCGCGTGCTGACAAGGTAGCCGTGGGACGACGACAGTACTTGACAAGGAGGAGGAGGAGGAGGAGGAGAAGGTAAAGAAGACGAAGAAGAAGGAGAAGAATGTCGATCGTGCTGACGTGGCAGCAGCAGGACGACGGTCGGAGTTGATGAGGAGGAGGAGATGGAGGAGGTGGAGGAGGAGGAGGAGGAGGACGAGGGGCCGCGGGGACTCACCTGACAACGATGGGCGCCAGACATGGCAGCAGCTGGAGCGCGGGGCGATGCGAGGGCAGTTTCGAATGATTCGAATTCGAAACTGACCCTTCCCCCCGTGCTCTCCCTGGACCCGATTCCCACACCCGCGCCCCCCCACACGGATGACCACCGGCCCTCAGGCCCTCCGAACCCCCGCCGGCTACCGGTACCGGCCCGGGCGGAACCCGTTCGTGGGCCTCGAGAACACGTTCGCGAACACGTTCTCGCGAACGTGTTCTCGACCCGTTCGCGCAAACGGGAGAACGTGTTTGCCCGAACGGGAAGGCCCGCGAACACGTGCGTCGTGTTACCGCAGGTTGTGGCCAAGGCTGCAAAAGCGGCCGATGCTGCTGAGGCGGCAAAAGCTGCAGCAGTCGAGGCAGCGAAGACGAAGAGGAGACGTGTGCCTTGAGTCATGGAGGACAACGATGAAAATCCATATGGCAACGCCACAGTGCAGTCTCCGGGATCGACCTCGTCGTCGTCCGAGGGAAACGCCCAATCGTAATCATCCACATCATCATCATCGGAGGATCTCGAGGAGGAAAGGTCGCAGGAGGAGTCTGGCGGGAAGCATGAGTCAAGGGAGGAGGCAGAGTAGCCTGCATATTGTGTAGATTCAGTCGACTAGGGTAGTCAGAGTGGTGTTCGCATTGTCGTGAGCCTTTCAAAGGCCAAATTCTTTACAATCTCAAGTGTCCCCTGTGTTTAACACATTTTGTAAATTCTGATGAAGATTTCTAAAATTTTGAGTCTTACTTTTTTTTCAACTTTTTTCAGTTTATGTGTTCTTTAGAATTCGTTTCGCTACTTTTGGTTTTATGCTGCAAAATGTGTGTTGAAAGGACATGTTGTCGTTTGCCGTGATCTGATTGTCGTATCTCTTATTTTTGCCTTTAGTGATGGTTGTGTGTGGTAATGTTGGTCTTGCTATTGCATAATTGCACGCACATCATAACTAACAAGTGAGTTACGCATGCTGCCACCAAGCCTGATTTTCGCATGAAGAGAGAAGTTATTCAATATTACATTATTATTGATAATATGAATCTATTACGATAATAATTATTGTGAAGTCAATATGGACTCATATGAAGTATTTTGTAGTACTACTGCAATGCAACAGAAAAAAAAAGTTATCGCATACCCGCATGCACCATGTGCATAAATGTTTGTGACACTTGCATGCCCCAGCGCACCAGCGCACTGTGTAGCGAAGTGTTGGACAACGAATCACACATCGTGCATTGCGCACCTATACACTCACATAGCGTACCGATGCGCACGCCACGGAGGGGCGCACGACGCGCCTCGCACCGCACAGCATTGCGCAACACAACGATGCGCTGCAAGTATCTTTGAAACCCTTAATAAAATATTTTTTAAACTTATTAACTTAATAGGGTTTCAAATGACTAGGGTTTCTCTTTTGCGCGCGCCCGCACGAGCACCGCCAACCCTTTTCGGTCGAGGAAACGTTACACACTTATACTCGACACTATAACCAAAGTTTTTAATGGACCAGATTTTTTATTAACCTCTTTTGTGTATTAAAAAAAAATAAAAAAAAATAAAATTCAACAATTCAGTTCAATTTGATTGGGACTTTTGGGGGCATATCGGTCATATCCGATATCGGTTTTCCCTTAAATATGTCTCAAAATTTTGGGAAACATTGGCCAAGCAACTTTGCTCTCCATAGGCGGTCACTATTTCCGCTTCAATTTTTAGAAAAT